TGCTGGCTGTGTATTTCCCCTCTCGTATTCGTGTAGCTGCCTTTATTCTTTATGGTCCTGCTGAGGTCCCAGAGCAGGCAGAAGGCAACTGCTGGAGAAGTGTATAAAGCACCACGGCTGAATGCCAGCTACTGCTCCCACAGATGCTCAGGCTCCTGGAGATACCACTGGAAACACTGGGGCACTTCTCACAGGACAGTGCACGGAACCCAAACGCTTGTTTCAAAACAAGGTGCAAGAAACTTCCTCACTGTTTGGGATGCCTGAGCTAGACATAAATTTCTTCTCCTTCCCTCCCCACCACTCTTGGCTTTTACTGTACACTACTTAAATAAATCTTTTTCAATTCAGCTATCCCTTCCAGAACTGTTAAGAATTATTTTGATTTATGTATTAGTCTCAATTTCATTTGCGTAAGCTGTGTATATAAATATATATTTATTTTTATTTTTTGACCTACCCCTTTCTGGACAGAAGACTTTTCTTTCATGTTTTAGTGTATATCTTTGCACAGGGTTATCTAATGCTACTGTTTTCTTAATTATAATTTACACTTTACATTAATATTTTCTGTTGCAGAAAAGTTCAGAGTGCTTGACAATTTGTAAGCCATGAAAGCTGTCATTGCTTGTGAGGAGTAGCTATGGCCTGTGATATTTTTAAATGGACATTATATGTTTTTTGTTTAGCTTTCAGAATTAAGCTGATTGAGTTGCACTGGTGACATACTGTATATAACTTTAAACTTCATGGATCTGTATAACTTCTTTTTTGGAAGTGTAGCCTCTCAAATATTAGTATGTATTTTATTTTTCAACAGGCCAAGTTTGACTTTATGCTGTGTCATATAGGAAATCGTGTGAAATCAAGATAAAGATTACTCTACAGCAGTGATATCCTGAGGCAGATACTTAGTTTGTACAAGTTGTCCTCTCTCTACTGCTAGCTGTCTTCTTATGAAGGAAGCAGATGGCATTTAAAATCTTGATTTGATGGAAAAAGCATTAGTAAGAAAGTGTTTGAAAGTGAAAGGTAGGCAAATGTGTTTATAAGTACTGTTTATATTTTTAATTACATGGATGATTAAAGGGTAGTAGTTTGGTTTTTTGAAGTTTATATCTGCAGCATATAGAAGTGGGGAGTATTTACATTGTAATATAGCTCAAAGTTACACCTCTGCACACTCTTGGTTGCTCTGTTCTGTTTCGTGTTAGCTGTGGGTGGAACAGATAAGCAAAGGAAGAAGTGGATTACCATCTTCAAATTAAAAACGGAAAGACTTTGAGCTTAATTTAGAATAGCTGGATGAAATGTGTGCTACAGAGAAGAACTGGGAATATGGCAGGAGTCCTTTGGTTATTGCAACTTGCAAGTACACCAGATAAAGTGGCTCCACTCTTCCCATTCACTCTGTAAATTGTCCATTTGACATAACTCTTCCCATGAAATGTTTAGAAATCTTTTACAAATTAGGCAAATACTCAGTGTATTGTCATTTGGTGTCTTTTTCTGTTATGGTCATCATTTACAGCTATTGTTTAAAAGACTTCTGAAACATAAACACAGTTGAAAATTAGGCACAGTTGAGAGTAACTGCTTAAGATGTGCTTCTTGGTTCAGATGACTGCAGCTTGAGATTTGCTGGCATGCATGAATGATTCAGCTGCCCTGAGGTGTCTGAGGATTGATGTGGTATTCAAATAACTGGAGTAACCTTCAAATCGTGGAGGTTAACACTGCATTTACTTATGGTTTCCATTTTTTGACACTTAGTTGCTGAGTGATAGAGCATAGGCAGTTTTGGTTTGATGCATTGGGAAATCCTTAAAATGCACAAATGAGCACAGTGTTGCCTGGGTGCCTTTGTGATTAACCTGGTAGTTCTTTGTCTATAAAATAATTTAATTGAACACATGACAATCTCATTAGATGAGCCTAAATTATTACTGATCAGATGGCTGTGCATATTAAGCCCCAGTGATTTCCATTAGCTGTTACTGTAACTCTGTTGTCTGAAAAAAATCTTCACCTGCTCAGTTTTTCGTTTGCTCCCCTTAAAATGTTTTGACAGCAACTCAAGTAAAAACATATAAAATGACTTTGCAGATGCGAGATAAACGTTCTCCACTTATAAATATTGCAGATGCCAGCTTTCAAGAGCAGGGACTATTAATCTGCATTTACTTAAATCAGTGCAAATCTGGAATAACTCCACTGGAATTGAAAGTTCAATAAAGAATGAATTTATGGCTGCTTTGCACATGGTGATTTCTCTGTAGAAATCTTTGCTGTTAAAATTCTTGTTGATTTTCCTTTCCATTTGTGCCAGCAGTTCTCATTCATACCCCTTCAAGGCATTTTAAAATGCCAGTAGGAGTGCTAACAGCTGACCCCTCAGAATGTCTTTTATCATGAGCAGATGCTTATGAGGAATGGGGAAATGGGGTTTCTTTTGCATTGATGGATTCTTCTCTTTTACCTGCCTAAAATATGTATCACATTTATCACAGGATAAAAATCCTCTTT